ACATAAAAAAAATTAGTGAGGAAGAAGAGATCTGAGGAGAGAACGAGCCAGCACATATATATTAACGCTAACCGATGCTATTTCGACGCTAAATCGACGCAAATTAGCATCGAAATAGCATCGATTAGCGTTATTATATATATGTGTTGGTGCTAAATTGAAACAAATTAATTGAAATTTTTTCGGTTTAGGGCCAAAAATTTAACCGAATTAATTGAATTTAGCGTCGATTTTGCGTCGAATACAAAAAATTTTATTTAGCATCGACAACTGACAATTCGATGCTAAATTAATGATAACTAGCGTCGAAATGACATCGATTAGCATTATTATATATGTGTTGGCGCTAAATTGAAGCAAATTAATTGAAATTTTTTTGGTTTAACGCAAAAAATTTAACCAAATGAATTGAATTTAGCGTCGGTTTTGCGTCGAATACAAAAAAAAAACCGCCGCGTTTTTTGTTCTTTAACCTAAACACCAAAAAATTCATATAGCGTCAATTTAGCATCGATTATTGATAATTCGATGCTAAATCGATCCTAAGTAGCGTTGATTTAGCATCGACTATAGATGATTTTGATGCTAATTCGCGGCTATGGCGAGACTATCATGTTTTAGGGTATAGGGTAAAAACCCGCCACAGATACGAAAACAATCTTAACCGTATTGATTTTTGTTGTAACAGATTAATTTTAAACTTAAAAGTTTTGGACCAATAATACTTTGTTCATAGAAGGTTCAAGATATATGTAAAACTGTACTTTTTGAAATCTTTATTCATTACATGTGTTTTAAATTTTGAATACATCACTTATACATTCGCAATAACATACAATATAGATAACATTTATGCATCAGCGTCGGTTCTGAAGAATCCGACGCAAAATCGACGCGTTTTCTGTTTTTTACCCTAAACACCAAAAATATCATTTAGCGTCGAAATAGCATCGATTAATAACAATTCGATGCTAAATCGACGCTAAGTAGCATCGAATTAGCGTCGACTACAGAAGATTCCGATGCTAATTCGCGGCTATGGCGAGGCTAAATCATGTTTAGGGTATAGGGTAAAACTCCATTAAAAACGTGCAACCTACCTACCACATTCGACGCAATATTCGATGCTATATCTGATGCTATGATATTGTTGCTAAATCGATGTTAAATTAGCATCGATTTAGCATCGAATGTAGATTATGGATGCTAATTCGACGCTAAATCGATGCAATTTAGCGTCGATTTAGCGTCGAATATTTTCGTCCCAATATTGCGTCGTATTTGCGTTGAATGTTTAGATCGGCACAAAATCGATGTAAAATCGACGCTATATTTGCGTCGACACAAAACCGACACAAAAATTCGACGCTAAAACTGTGTTTTCTTGTATTGTTTGTCTCATACTATAAAGAAGACGTTCGATAATTGAATGTTGCTGTGAATTATGAACATGAGCCAATTGATAGGTTCGTTCAATTCACATGGTGACATGAGACGATGGAGATACACAACTGCTACATTATTCTCTATTGAATCAGTGACCTTATGGCGAGGTGTAAACAGCACGGATGACCCTATGACCGGGTATAAATGTCGATGATGAGTTGACGGCCGAGTATAATGCCGTGATATTTTGAAGACATGTCCAATCTCACCCGTATTACCATGTATGAGCTTACCGGGGGTATTGGGAGATCGAGAGGTCGAGATCCACCGAAAATGAACGGTCAAGATCACCAACCAAGATTATGGAAATAAGGAAGATTTCCAGAAGATTGT